CTCTGGCCCAGTGGAGCAGCCCTCAGGCACACCTGCCCTGGCCAGTGCACCCCGGTCACAGCGCATGCGGCTGGATAGTGGGTCCTTGGCCGCATTTTGTTCCGGGCACTGAGGCAGCTCCGCCCGCGGTGGGCAGCGTTCAGAATGCCCAGGTCTAGACCACACCTTCGCCTGCCCTGATTCTGGTGCAGTGATGTGCTTTGGAAGTAAACTAACTCAGCAGTGTTCTCTGTGGCTTTGTCCCTGCCCTGCCAGCCACGGCCCCTTGCTGACCCTCCACTCCAAGGCACCGCCTCCCAGGACCCCCTGGGCTCCTCCCACCTGGCCTGGGCACAGTGCATCCCTCCTGTAGCAGCCCTCCCCCCAGGACAGGGTGAGCGCCCAGCCCGGCTTCATCCCCCTGGGCCAGGGGCCTCCCTTCCTGACACTGGCCTGAGGGGACTGGGCAGAGGGCCTTTGCACAAAAGAAATGATGAGCTCACTGCTCTCCTGAGGAGGAGGGAGCTGCGGAGTGTGATCCGCCTCCTTTCCATGAAGAGCATTGGCCACTAGCTCTAGTCCCGGGAAGGGCAGGGGAGAGGGGGACTCGATGTGACAGACAAATTGGAAGTCATTTTGGAGGGAGAACTGCCTTAACTCTCCAGCGCCCTCATGGGGGAGGGGCATGTCCTTAGCCCCCGTTTGCACCACAGAGGGACTGAGCGCTGATGTGGGTGTGGGACGTCAAACACTGAGTCAGGGACCCCAGTGGTCGGGGTCCCAGGTGAGAGCCTGTGGGGTTCAAGTTCAGATAGAGAAGCTGGATGCCAGAAGGAAACTCTACTGGAGTCACCCTGGGGGTGGAGTCTGTGCCCACAGTGGGGAACTGGGGACAGCCAGGCAGCTCCAGTACACTGACCCCCAAGCTCTGGCCCCTATCCCCCAGTCCCAGGCCACTGCAGCTGTTAGGGCTTGGCGGCAGGGGCAGCTCTGGGGAGCGCAGGCGTTTCCCAGCGGCAGGATGGAAGGGTCTGCTAGGAGCGGGGGCTGGGCTTGTTGCGGGCAGTGGAGCAGGATGCCAGGTGGCTCCTGAAGGAGCTGGAGGCCAGCTGGGCTTCCTTGGGAGCTGGGGGGCAGCTGGGAGGGACTGAGGCGGGAGCTGGGGGGAACCAATCTTGCTCCCCAGACCCTGGGCTTGGGGTGGCGGTGGAGGGCTTCCCCAGCCCGCTGCTGTCTGTGAGGCCCAGGATGGCTCCAGTTCTGCTGGAGGCCGGAGCCCAGCCTCTCCGGTTCTTCCTGATGTAACTCACACCTCTCCCTCCCAGGTGAGGGTGTGGCCCAGCCTGAAGGGGCAGCTGCAGTCTGACCAACAGTGAAGCCAGGTGCTTCCCTGAGGCTCCCTTTCCTGGTTCATCCATCTCCTCTCATTTGAATTCATATTGTCTCAAAAGTCCTGAGTTCCCACCTGGCTGGCGTGGCTCAGTGGTTGAGCGTCAACCTATGAACCAGGAGGTCATGGTTCAATTCCCAGTCAGGGCACAAGCCCAGGTTGCGGATCGATCCCTAGTGTGGGCATGCAGGATGCAGCCGATCAATGATTCTTTCTCTCATTGATGTTTCTCTCTCTCTCCCTCTCCCTTCCTCTCTGAAATCAATAAAAACACATTTTAAAAAATATATTTTTTAAAAAGTCCTGCGTTCCCACATGTGGAAATGAAGCTGACATGGTGTGCCATGACCCCTAAATATTCAGCTATCTTGGGGTGGGCCTGTAGGTGACCTGGATGTTGGAGAGGCCCCTAGGGTGGCCATGGAGGCCACCTGGCCCCAGGTGCTGCCCCTTCCCCTCCCAGAGTGAGTGATCAGTTTGCCCAAATCCAGGGAGCCCTGAGCTGCCAGGGGCTTGTGGGAAACGGAGCACCTGACGCAGCCTTAGAGTCCCTGTTCATCACCGCTTGCTCGGCCTCAGGACCCTGGTGGTCCTCCTTCCGTTCGGCCAGAGCCACCACTTTGCTGTCCCGTGGGGTGAGGGGTGCCAGGGGACAGCCAGGCCTTTGCCAGCCGTGGCTCATGTGGATGGACCACTCAGTATAAAGTTTGGGGTAAGGCCCTGAAGTAGGAGGTAACCCCAACCTGGCAGGCGTGGCCCGAGCCCAGTGATGGCGAACCTTTTGAGCTTGGCGTGTCAGCATTTTGAAAAACCCTAACTTAACTCTGGTGCCGTGTCACATATAGAAATTTTTTGATATTTGCAACCATAGTAAAACAAAGACTTATATTTTTGATGTTTATTTTATATATTTAAATGCCATTTAACAAAGAAAAATCAACCCAAAAAATGAGTTCGCGTGTCACCTCTGACACGCGTGTCATAGGTTCACCATCACTGCCCTAGACTTTTGCCCATGGCGGGGCCCATGTCAAGAATCAGGGCTGTGGGGGCTGGTCTGAACCCTGACAGGGGCACTCACCTTCTCTGGGGGTCTTCCTGGGCCTTGGGCAGCCTGGGGCCCACTCAGGGCCTGGGGAAGGGCAGGCAGCTTCCGGACCCCATTTCTCAGACTAACGGTGCACCTTCCCCACAGGAGCCGTTCCGTGTGGGCTCCCACACCCTGGGGAGGAGCAGGGAGAAAAGAGCGTCTTTCTCTTTTGCTAAAAGGTGTGTGTGTCTCACTCAGCAGCCGGGGTAATTTTAACTCAGAGGCTGACCCAAAAAATGCCACTGGTTGCTTCCCCCCCACCCCGGCCCCTGCCTTCCTCCCACAGCCTGGACTGGGAGGCCCGGTGGCGGCGGAAGCCCCTGCCCAGCTTGGTGGGCCCCGCTGAATGGGGGGTTTGTGTGCAGCCAGAGGGGCGGGAACTGGAGACCTGCCCGCCGCCGGCCCCGCCCTCCAAACCCCGAGCCCAGAGCCCCGAGCCCCAGCCTGGCCGCGCCTCCAGCGCCACTCAGAGTGCACGCAGCCATGGCCAGAGCCCCCACGCTGGCCCTGCTCCTGCTCGGGCAGCTCCTGGCCAGGACCGAGGCGCAGGTGAGCACGGGGCGCAGGGGAGCTGGGCTCGCCCCAGCGGACTGGGGTGGGGGTCCAGGGCTCTGATGTCAGACATCCAGCAGTGCAGCCTGGGGGCCGCCCCCCACCCCAGCCGCCTGGGCCAGCCAGCGAGTGAGCCTGGGACGGGGAGACTGGCACAGACCTATCGCGACCACCAGGCTGAGCCCACAGACACCAGGCCTCCTCTGCGTGAGCCCAGGAGGCTGCCTGGTCCTCCCAGGCCAGGGTGCCGCCACCGCCAGAGACCACAATGTGGCCTTTGTTCCCAGGCTCCCTGCGGGTGGGCACAGCCCTTCCTGGCTGCACAGATGAGGCAGTAGACACTGGCAGGGGGCGGGGGGCATCGCTGAAGCCAGACAGGGTCATGGGCCCCTGTGCCAGGCCCCAGTGCTGCTCGACCCTGGGAAGAAGGGACACTCCATCGGACTGACCCAAGAGCCAACCAGGGGACCCACCTCGAGGGGGAGGGGTGAAAAGTCCCAGGTGCCTAATGACATTGTTCCATTTCAGAAAGTGGGACCTCGAGGTCCTCCTGGTCCCCAAGGGCCACCTGGAAAGCCGGGCAAAGATGGCGTTGATGTGAGTTTGGGGCGTGGGAAGGCCCAGGAGGGTTCTCTGGGGTTCCAGCTCTGGCTCCAACCTTTACAAACCCCTGGGCCTGATGGAGAGAAAACCACGTCCTACTTCGCAGGTCGGGTGATGTCGGGGTGATGAGCCAGCACCCGTATGGGATGTGAAACAAAGACGATCCTTGTTCCTACTTGGGACACACCCCACGGGGCCTGCTTGGGGCGGCGTGGGGGGGGGGGGCTGCATGGTGGTCTTTGACTGGAAATGTGGCACTGAAGTGTGTGCCCGGGGTCTGTGCTCCTGTATTCTGGGGGTTGGGTGTGGAAGTGCAGGGCCTGACCCTCTTTGTGGGTCTTGTTGGGGCTGCTGGGGGCTGAAGCCAGCCTTGGAGGGGCTTGGCCTGCACTGCGTCCCTGGTAGGTGCCCCAGGCCAGCAATATGGGGAGGCAGCTGAAATCCTGCAGCCTGCCCCCAGCGGCCGTCTGGGGTGGAAGCCCCTCCATCCAGCCACCTCCATGAAAGGTAGGGGCCCCCTCCAGGCATCTCCTCACCCATATTATCCCCTCTGAGTCCCCAAGGCCCTGCCTGGCCGTAGGTGGCCCTGAGCCTCCCCCTCAACCTGGACCCCACGCCTCTCCCGCCTGGCTGGGCCCTTGGCCCCCAAGGCTCCCGGGCCAGGCTGATCATTCCTCCTGTGGATGCGTCCACTCAGACCTGCCTGGAGCCTCGGTTAAAGGGTCTCAGGCCTGGAGGTCGTGGCAGGGAGGCCCGGGCTGCCTTCTGGGGCCTCACGGGTCTGGGGCTGCCCCTCTGGACAGGTGCGGGCAGCAGGCCTCTCAGCGCCCACAGCGCTTCCTGAAGCTTCTCCGGCAGCGGAGGAGCTAGGGCTTCTTGGAGCCTTCCCCTTGGTTCTGGGGGTCATGACCCTGAGCCCTCAAAGTGATCCCCAAAAGCAGTGTAGGCCATGTCAGGGCTGAGCCCAGCCTGTCCAGCTAGCCCCTCTCCCCAGTGCCTGCCTCAGCACCTGGCCCTGGCGGGGAGGTGCCCTAGGTGTGGACGATGGGGTGAGGGGCTCCCGACTTGTCTTCCGGGGCAGGGCCCTGGGGCCCAGCTCTGCTCCCGGGGCGGGGTCTTCAGGGACCCTTGGTCACATCAGGGTGTCTCCCCCTCTGCAGGGAGAAGCTGGTCCCTCCGGGTCTGCCTGGGCCCCCGGTGAGTGTCCTGGCTGTTGTGGGGGGAGGGGTGGCCCCTTCCAGTCTGGAGGGGAGGGTGGGCCTAAAACAGAGGGGTCATTG